GTAGCTATGAAATGGAACTGACTTGACTGCACTTAACAGTAACAAGGTAGAAGTTGGTGCTCAACTAATGTTTTAGAATAATTGTTTTCCAGCATTCCTGTGCCTTTGTCTAAGGAAACCCAATATGGAAAATACCAACAGAAAATATAAGATGTGACTAACAGCATTACAAAATTCTTCTGTTAAAATCTCACTGCCGCTTTCTTTCAAAGTTCACTGCTAACGCGTACACCAAAATGTTAACTAGCTCTCAACTAAGCAAGCACACCTATAGGCCTTCACAGATGGCTGCAGAGGCTTGGATGAGAGGAAATAGCTTGTGAGCATGTCTGCATTAGCCCACATATTGCAACCATCCATAATATTTTGGCAACCCATATGCAACCCTCTTAAGGAGCTCTGGTAGCGTAGTGGTTACGAATCGGGCTGCGAACCTTAAGGTCAGCAGTTCGAAACTACCAGCCACTCCGCGGGAGAAAGATGAGGCTTTCTACTCCCGTAAAGATTTACACCCTTGGAAACCCTGTACAGGGTCGCTATGGGTCGGAATCGACTCGACGGCACTTCACAATCACAATCACAAATCCAACTCACGCGTTATCTTTTTTTTCCCTTCACTGGTTCTATAAAGGCTTTGTGTATGTTTTATTTCATATATCCAATATTTCCTAAAGAGTTTGTGTACTTTTTGCAAGGAATTTAATCTTCATCTTTATTAGGACATGATACTAATTTGCTAATTAATAATCTAGCACTGTAAACTCACAAATCAAAGCACCCCATCTGACCTCCCCAGCACCACATGCCAGCACAACAGGCTCCAAACTGCAGTGGCTGCAAAACTCCACAAGATAAACAGGGTGGTGATGGGGAAGTTCTTATTCCAATCTAAACAGAGCCACTGCTTGCCGACCAGAGGCTGTAATCACTAGGTGAGATTATGCTGAGACATTTCTCTGATGTGATTTCTTTTAAAAAACAACAACAACAAAAAAACCCAAAACGGGTCTCAGCTTGCTCCTGCTGGAATCTGTGAACAAATGAAGATGTCAAGATGCAGCGGTACGGACAAAAAATGTTTATTTGATTTCACCTTTCAGAAGGATCAAGATTTCTTCATATTAAAAGAAAGTCTGCCCTCTTTATAGGCTTGTAAAAAGATTTTAAGAAGTTGAGTTACTTACCCACTTTCCCACTGACCTTTTTGCCAAGTTGCAAAGAGAAATACATTTCCATGTGGAATGTACCTGGAAATATTTTCTGTAGCTCATATAAACAATACTAATTGGAATTAATTAGTATTGTATTGCAGCTTATCAGTTGCTCTCAAATATAGTCTCGTTTAAAAATAATGACATGGGCCTGACCATAGTGCCGTTTTGTTAGAAACCTCCAAAACCACGAAAGTCAAGTAGGGGACGAAGCAAGCGAATGCGCAAGCTGAAGAGCAAAAGAAAGATGAGCAGAGTCCAAGCATATGCACCCAACGTAGTCACAGCAGCAGTAGGGAATTACAGAGGCCAAGGACACTGATACAAGTTGTTGACAGCATGCTAATGTCTAGAACTTCTGTTTCAATGGATCTAGAACTTACTTCCATTGCCATTTAATTGCTGCAAATACCTGAGTGGCCTACCTTGCACAGACCAAATTAGTCCCTTTTCATATTTTGTCCTGAACCTATGAAAATCTGGACTAGTTCTGTTCTCAGTGTAACATGCACAATACTGTCTTCTGCTTATGAATCAAAATAAAATAAAAATGATGACATAGGTAGAGCTTCAGTGCCAAAAAATATTGCAAAGACAAGTGAAATTGGATGTACAAGGGCTAGGACTACAGTTAAAAAAAAAAAAAAGGCATGTTTTGTAATTATCGTGGAGATGTTGTTGTTAAGTTGTTAAGTACTGTTGAGTCGATTCTGACTCACAGTGACCCTGTATAGTGTTTCCAAGGAGCAGCTGGTAGGTTGGTTGCCAACCTTGTGGTCAGCACTCAAATGCTTATTCTACAGTGCCACACCAGGATAGGGAGAGAGGGCTAAGTTTTTGTGCTTCTAGGAGTAGTATAAACCTAGTTATAAAAGCCAGGTATTTTTTTATCTGTAAAATGGGTTAATAATAATAGATATTTCATCGGGTTGTTTGAGGACTAAATGAGCTTATTTTATTGATTTAAAGTGCTTGGAATACGGCCAAGCATATAGATAATAATAATTATCACCTATTAAAATGGTCAGTGGTTCAAACCCACTAGTCACTCTGAGGAAGAAAGAAGAGGCTGTCTGCTTCTTTAAAGATCTGCAGTCTGAGAAACTTTAAGGGCAATTAAGGGCTCTTCATTGAAAAACTTCTTCCTTTGGAACTCATGTTTCATCTTAAACAGAAGGATGCTAAGGAAAGCACAGAAGAATGTAAAATAAATGTATTTTTACCTAGTGAATTAATTTCAGAAATTATCAACAATTAAAAAGAATGAAATGAAGCCTATGAAATGCAATTTTTAACATATTTGTTTAGCCTTCAGAAAAATAAGTGAAAAAGAGACATTGAGGAAGAATAAAAGTTGAGAATTTCTAGAAAAAATAAAGATTCCATCCCCTTTAAAGCAAATGGTCTTACCACTGGTTCTTGCTGATTATGTACTTTGTTCTTAAGATAATCACTTGGTTATTAAAACCATTCAGGATTCCTTACCACAGTCCATTAAAATAGTATTAACAATACTATATATTCTATAGGCTATCTATAAAAGTTATATTTAAGCAATCTTGCAGTCCAACTTTCTTAGAATTCCTGATCCCAAGAACTAGCAACTTTACTTCAGCACATCTCTCCTCCAGTCTTCCTACCCAGCTCTAAAATCCCATGAATGACACAGATTTATCTTTTCTACTTCCTAAATAATCATTTGCTTCTTCCCTCCTGCACATAATTTCTGAGTTTCATTTTTACTGGTAAAGGAAACTAAAGTTAATGAAAAGAAAATACACACATCAAAGAATAAAAGTACAGTCATTATACACATTTTTTTAAAAAGGTAGCTCATTTTAACTTTCATAACTTCCCACTTCCTTATGGAACTTTGGTTTAATATACAAGATGGGACAAGTAGAGATAACTTGGGCATGTGCCCTTTTTGAGGAAAAGTGACTTTAAAAATCGGTGCTTACCTGGGATTCTAAACTCAGTGAGACATGACATAACTCAAAGATTAGTCCCTGGGCTTTGAATTAATTACAATCTTTTCTGTTTGTGTGTCTTTGAAAAAAAACAACAAAAACACCCAAAAATACAATTAGCACCATTAGCATTTTTAGAGACTAAAACCATTTTCACACATGACTCACTTTTAGGATTTTAGGTGCTATGCTTCATATCTAATACTTGATCCCAACAATTAAAATCAAGGGCAAGAGGTCACCAGATGGTGTGTGAGCCTTAGTTCCTGTTATCCAGTAACAATCTATAAATCAAGTGGAGAACAACATCTACCTGCACACCCTGCCACACCTCCACAGCCACTCTGACAGGTCTGTCAGAAGCAGGGCCAATCAACAGCAAGACTACAACAGAAGCCTAGATAACTAGAAAGGGGTGGGGAGCAGGAATTAAAAACTAAAGGGTGCGTGAGTGGGAATAAAGCTTCACAGAATGGAAGAAGAAAAGAGGGAGAAGCAGAGGAGGGGGAAATACGATTAAGGAAACAGTATGAGGGTTAGACTTCTAAATCTTAACCATGCATGTTCTTTTTCATTCTATATCCCAAAAGATGGGATGAAGGTGTCTGGAGTTATCTGGATAAATCCACGTAGTGAGAGTTGGGCCAACACAGTAGGGTGTGGCAAGAGAAGACAGTATAAACACAGTGAGATCACATCATGTGGTGTGATCTTTTAATATTTATAAAATATCTATACTTTAAGAGTTTTCGTAAGAATTCAGCTCTAGAGACTGAGAATGAAATTAATTTCATGATCTTAAGATTCTCAATTTTTTAAAGTCTTCTGAGGACCTCCCTCCTGATCATTCGACTTATAAAGAAGGCAAAGCCCCACTGGAAGTGATTTCTCAAGCACCACCAAATGGAAATATTTCCAAAACTTAGTGTAGGAACCACAAGGGGTCTCTTATGAAAGCCGAAACTGTCCCCAGGATTAGTTCACTCAAGTTCCTTTTGTACTCTTCAGAAGACCACAGAACACACGGCTGCCACGCTAAGTGGAAGTTGATATTGTTTGTTGTAGTTGAATAGATTCCAACTCAACATGACCTCGTATGTGCAGAGTAGAACTGCTTCATAGAGTTTTCAAGGCTGTGACCTTTTGGAAGCTAACTTTCAAGGCTTGTCTTCCAAAGTGCTCTGAGTAGTTTTGAACCACAACCTTTCAGCTAGTAGTCTAGTGCTTAACCTCTTGTGCCACCCAGGGACTCCATTTACTTAGTGGAAGGGAGGTTAGTAATAAAACAATTTCCCCATTAAAACCCAAACAAAACAAACAAAAACCCCTCTAATTTGGGAATGTAATCATATAATTCCTACTTGGCAAAATGTACAGGTTGGCTACAGAACAAAAGGAACTATCTGAATCCAAACTATTGATTCTTAATCCTTTAATTAGACTAAGTCCTTCAGAAGGAAGCACAACTCATTGTTATTGAAGGAAATAAATAGGAAACTCAGACTGTGATATATATTCATACACATGAGCATACATACATTCCTCAGTATATTTACAGGAATAAACACTCATGGCAAAGGGCTCAAAGGCCAAATAAATTTATTTGCTGGTGAGAATCATAATTTGGAACATAAAAAAGAGTTCTTCTGGGAATATGATTTGGGAAGCATGTGGTGAGAGGGCGAGACTCAGCAATCCACAGGCATGTCAAAAGATGTGAAAAACTATCTTGAGCTAACTATGCTCTGACTTCAGGCCAAAGGTGTTTGCCCTGGCGCGCACTGACATCTGAGTGGTCGGAAGGCCCACTGGAGAGAATTTATTTGGAACCTTTCTTCTTCTTCTTCTTCTTCTTCACTGGTGTTTCATGTAGCCTAGGGTCCACTACTGCTTCTACTTGCTTTTTCAGCCTTTTCTTTTGTTTCCTTTTTTTAGGCTTTGGGGTACAGTCCTGGTCATCAGGTGGCCACACGCAATCCTCTCCATTTGAGGCAGAAGATACAGAATTCTCATCACAACAAGGGTCTCTGAGCTGCTGTTCAACTTGGTCTCTTTTCTTCTTGGCCACACACATGGGGTTCTCTTCTTCTTCCTGAGGCTTTTCTTTTTTAAGCCGCTTGGCCTTGGATTTGGTGTTATTCTCCAAATTTTTATCTTTTACTTCACTCTTTCTTTTCTTTGCTCTTTTCCATTCAATTTGGGCTTCTGAAGACTCAGGATCTGTAGCTGCAACTTGTGGCTTGCTCTGTAGCTTTGCCATCCGCTTGGCAAAATATTCCTGGATGGTTAAGGCACTGGTTGTTGTCGTGGAGGTTTCATTCTCCTCTGGAGTGGCAGAGCAGGAATCATCCTAAGATGTGGGGGAAAAAGTTAAAAACCAGTTAACCATCAACTGTTTATTCCTCAGAGTATTCCAGGAGGCCTCCACATAGACTAGTCACTTAAAATTAGCCATTGGGAAAAGGCTCAGACCTCAACATTCCCCCTTTTCTCTGGCATACCTGAACTGTGAAGTACAGAACAAGGTGGCCATATATTTTGGTTGAATACTATATGAGCTGATAGGGTGAACATACAGAATCTAATTTCAGAAGCTAGCTGGCAAACCACGTAGGTGGACGTCTGAGTAAGCATCTCCTTAGAATCAATTATACCAGGTGGCTTCAAAAAGTTCATGGAAAATGGAATTAAAAGATAATGGAATTTCCCCCCATGAATTCTATGAAGCTCCCGTGTAAATGGTGATTATGTCCCTGGAGTCTAACAAGAAAATAAAAAACTTGGAAATTCTGTAGCTTTGTGATTTTGTTGAAAACGTATGAGTATTTCAGCTACACTATGCATTTCTGCTTGGTAAAGTGAAGGGTCAGGGAAAAAAGAGAAAGATCCCCCACCGAGATGGATTGGTACAGTGACAGTAGTAATGGGTTCAAGCATAGCAATGATTGTGACGTTGGTGCAGGAATGGGCAGTGTTTCATTCTGTTGTGCACTGGCTTGCTATGAGTTGGTACTGACTTGATGACACCTACAACAACAGGATGGATTACAGGTCTTTGTGTGCTTCTTGACTTAGACTTTAGAATATATGTTAATCTTTCTCATGAGAGCATGATCCAAATTCCAACCTGGAATCTAGATTGTCGGGAACACCTTTCTCCTCCTCCATTCTGGCAGCTGCTCTAAAGAGAATGTGCAAGAGCTGGAAATGCATGTGTTGCCTCTTCCACACAGAAAGGGCAGGCTAGCCCCAGGAGCCTTTCTTCCCACAACTGGGGATAGGGAGAAGGGTGATGCCCTCACCTTTGCTTTGGCACAGCTTAGCCTATATTTTCAATAACCATGGTATTTTCAATAGTTTCAAATGATTGTGAAAGTTGGACACTGACTAAGGAAGACCATAAAAGAATTGATGCATTTGAGTTATGGTGTTGGAGGAGAATATTCAAGTACCATGGATTTCCAGAAGAACAAGCAAATCTGTGTTGGAAGCAGTACATTCAGAATGCTTCTCACAAGCCAGGATGGCCAGACTTCATGTCTCATACTTCAGACATTATCAGGAGGAATCAGTCCCTAGAGATCATGCTTGGTAAAGCGGAGGGTCAGTAAGGGTCAGCGGGGGTTGGGGGTGGGGTGGGACACAACAGGAGGCCCCCCAAGGAGATGGACTGGCATAACAGAAGCAGCAAAGGGATCAATCTGAACAACTGTAACAACACTGTAAGGGATAGTAAAGTACCGAGGAGGAGTACGAGGAGGAGGAGTGCTTTGTTCTGTTGTGCATGCTCTTGCTAAGAGTTGGTGCCTACTCAGCTGCACCAACAAGAATAGCCTATATGGCTGTAAGAGGGAGCTTCACAAAGTCTGTGGGAAAATGGAAATAAAAGAAAATGGAATGAACTTTTTGAAGCCCTCTTGTATTACTCTTTAAATTAGAGGGATTTCTCAGTCCTAACAACTTAGATTAAGTGAGGTTACATTTTAATTTTAAATAAATACATTCAGATGCAAGGCTTGAAAATACAGCGAAAATCCCTAATAGGTTGAAAAAAATAATGAAATGCTGGTACCAACATATAAATTGTGGTTAGTTGACAGTAAGGTGCTGAAAGCAAGTGTGTTAAAAAGAAAAACAACTCTCCTCCTGGCAAAAACAACAACAAAAAAAACCCTCCCCAAAACCAAATTCTTTGTCATTTGTTGTTGTTTGTGCCATGGAGTCGATTCCGACTCATAGCGACCCTGCACCGGGTTTCCGAGGCTGTTAATCTTTAAGGGAGCAGAACGCCTCAACTTTCTCCCGCCTCGTCTTTCTCCCGCAGAGCAGCTGGTATTTTCGAACTGCTGACCTTGCGGTTTGCAGCCCGATTCATACACTACGCTACCAGAGCTCCTTTCTTTGTCATTTGTTGTTGTTATGTGCCATAGAGTCGGTTCCGACCCATAGCGACCCTGTATAGGGTTTCCGAGGGTGTAAATCTTTACAGGAGTAGAAAGCCTCATCTTTCTCCCCCGGAGCAGCTGGTAGTTTCGAACCGCTGATCTTAAGGTTCGCAGCCCGATTCGTAACCACTACGCTACTACAATTCATGGCAACCCCACAGTGCGACAGAGCTAGACTGCTCCATAGGGTTTCCTTAGCTGTCAGCTTAGTTCTCCAGGCCTTTCTTCTGTGATGCTGCTGGGTCACAGAGGCTTTAAAATAATCAAGTCAAAAAATTACAGTAATGTTAAACTTTGTTGTTGTTGTTAAGTGCTGTTGAGTCAGTTCCAACTCATAGTGACCCCGTGTGGGTTTCTCAGGCTTTAAATCTTCAAGGGGGCAGAACGTCTCATTTTTCTCTGGTAGAGTGGCTATAAGGCTTGAGTCATGGACTTTGTTTTTTGCAGTCCAGAGCTTATCATGTAGAGCTACCCTGCTCCCAATGCTAACCTTAGGTTTTTATAAATTCCCAGGTTCTGTCACATACACCTGTTCTTACAGGCAAAGGCAGGTTGTTTTGTTCTTTTATGTTAGAAAGCATGGAAAATGGGTTTCATATCAATGGCCAAATCTGGATTCTACATATTCTGAACTTGTGCTAGCAATTTAATTACAAATCATTATGAATGGACTTTGCATATTTATTGACATAGTGGCACTGAAAAACCAGCTCAGTGGAACAAAAAGTAACATTATGCTTGAAATTTCAACAGAATCTATTATAGCAGCAGACAATTGGGCTTTGCAAGGCCATTGTCCCAGAGAACTTCCACTTAAGGGTACCTTATTAATAACATCACCACTTGCTAAATCAACACAAACTTTTACACTGGGCTAAAAAGGAGTCCTGGTTGGCACTGGAGGATAAGCACTGGACCTCAAGGGCAATTTGAGGTTGGCAGTTTATATTCACCAGCTGTTCCTCGAAAACTCTATACAGGGTGATCATGAGTCAGAACCAACTCCACAGCAATTGACAACAACAAAAAGACTGAATCACATGATCAAATTGTGAAATTTCAAAATGCAGAACATGTAGAATAAATTGTGTTCTGGGAAGGAGGTCCATATTTTATCTACCAGCATTCAATTTTTGCTGGTATACATCAGGTAATTTTCAGAAAAAGAAAAAAGTAGCCACCCTAGGAACCAAAAACCAGGTCACTTTATCTTTTTGGTCCTCAAATGTTGAAAAGGAGCTTAAACTTTGCGTAACTGAATGAAAAACCTTCCCAAGGCTTTCCTATTGCTAGCCTATTGCTTGTCACTTGATAGACAAGAACGGTCTTGCCTTCCATACACTGTTCACAGGCACTCACCCACAGTTATACACACATCCTCTGTGAAGGTGGCTCATTTATGTCAAGCAGGATTCATGTATAGATTGATGGCAATCAAAGGAGTTTATCTTATATGGGCTAACTCTTTTAAGAGTATATCTGTGTATTAAGAACTCAAATTCAAGTTATATCTTACAGTTTTTTACATTGTTCACCTGTTTACTACCTTCTAAATTTGTCCTTTTAACAGTTTAACCACAGGAAATGACTGCTAGTATTTAATGAACTTTTAATTATTTGAAGATACAAGACCATTTTTAGTCACTTGTTGAATTCAGTGAGGGCTTCTAAATCCTAGATAATAGGTCCATAATGGACTCCTATAGTGATAAGGATTTTAATAACAATGAACCACAACACATCAAGTTTAGCAGGGCACTGGACAAGCAAGAGAGGTGCCAGCCTCAGATCCCAATTATCCCATCGAGAGTGTAGGCAAAAGAAATTGCTGTGGAGGACAGTTTATGGCCAGAGGTAGTTACCCTCCAAAAGTTCAGAAATACATTTCTTAAAAAGTCATGGCAACCAAGGAAAATGCTGCAAATCTGATTCCTGTAAAGTCAAAGCCTAAGGATAAATATTTGATATACTTGAATTCAAAACACAGTTTTACTACAGAGATTATATTTCCTGCTTCTGTATTCTTAACCATAAAATCGTATGAAAAATATACACCTTTTCAAGAAAACGAACACTTCTAATATTTGATCTTTATTCCAAAGTAAGCAAGTACTGAGAAAAGTATCAATGAATTGCTAATATTTTGAAACACAGATAATTTGAGTCTTTCTAAATTTCCATTAAGCATACAGTCTGTACTATTGACATGTGACTTTCACAATTTCGTAAACTTCGAGACTCTCCCAATCTGCTTAGCGATGTCCTTGTTGCTATTAAGTGCTGTCCAGTTGGTTCCAACTCATAGCGACCCTGTATAGGGTAAGGAATGGCTGGTGGGTTTGAGCTATTGACCTTGCAGTTAGCAGTCCAGTGCTTATACTATAGTGCCACACCAGTGATTTTCTAGGAACTAGTAAAAGAGATTTACAAATGACTTGAAAACTTCCTGTTCCATAAAAAATATGACCACAGGAAGTATGGTTAGCTAATCATTTTGCCATATATTAAATTTAAGCTCAGAGATTCAGGACTGTATATTAAAAAAAATTCCAATTCCTGTTAATTAATAGAGATCCTTAGATAAATCTCATAACCTCTCTGGGCTTCAGTTACCTAATCAAGTAAAAGAAGTAGGTAAAATTAGAGTAATCCTAAGGTTTCTGACAGGGATAAGATTTACTGATTGTTGGAAAAACACTTGGGCTGGCCATTAACATATTATGATCTAAGAGAGAAGAGAAGGGACAATAGGCGTTACAAGTCAGCAGCAGAGATAGCTGTTGTTGTTAAGTGCTACCGAGTCGGTTCTGACCCAAAGTGACACTGTATAGGGTTTCCGAAGAGCAGCTGATGAGCTTGAACTGCCGACCATGCAGTTCAAATGGCTTTGCAGTCTGGCGCATTA